AACAGCACCAGCTGCTAGCTGTCTTAGTGTAACCATGAATCCTGCAGCACCAGCTGCTAGCTGTCTTAGTGTAACCATGAATTCTACAGCATCTGCTGCTAGCTATCTTAGTGTAACCATGAATTGTATGGCAGCTACTGCTAGCTATCTTAGTGTAACCATGAATTTATGCATGTCTGTAGAGTTTTATACCGACTTGTACATTTGAGACTTATTCTAAAATCAGGATATTGTTTACAGCATGTTTTGGATATAAAGACAGAATACTGCTTGTGAAAACAGCAAGTTTACTACACCAATTTACAAGTCCTTGCTGTTACATGGGTACAGGTCAACATAACTCAAAAAACAAACATTATGCCTCTACTGAACCTACTGTCCTGGAAAACACACACGAAGTGAAAGTGACACATGTGCTTATTCAAATAACTTAAGATAAATAGCTTTGTACAGAATAAACTTTAGAAGCACATAGCTAAAAAACACACTAATCATTTCTGACTTTACATTTCGAGATTTTAATTATGAGGAAAAAATAAATGTAGTTAAGAATTAAATTGTCTGAATATTTGTTTTTTTAAAAAAGAAAAACCCATTTCTTTAACTCCACGTTTAGTGAAAATAAATACCAAAGTTAGATGCATCAATCTATATTGTGTGAAAAGCTGAATAATACTGTACTAGAAGGGTAGCAACCTGTAATCCATGCCTACATCTTTGAATAAAAACGTTCTGAAATAGCTTACTGTAAGTAGTATAATTGTTTAGTACACTAGTAGTTAGCAACATAAGCACACATTTCACATGTAGGCTATCGCAGTATTTCATGATCGCTATGGAACAAATCGTTGAACAAAAGGAAAATGATTAAATATTGGACCCAGTTACAAAAAGTAACACACTCCTACACAGCAGCATTGATTCAGCAAGTCTTAGATATTCCATCTTAGTCTTAATACCGATTTAATTCAACAGGTTTGATACTTAGACTATAAACATTTGTTAATTATAGTTTATCCAATATAGTATTATTAAAATTATGAACAATTTAGAATTGTAAGAGTTATGTCAAATATCAGTATTTATTCTACTAAAGCTGAAAGAAATAAACCCCCCAAAAAATGTGAATTAAACTGAACGAAAGCTAAATAAACATCAGAAAAAACATTCCACAATAATCAAATTTAAGAAAGATAACTTTAGCATAATACACGAACTTTAGTGAAATCACTAGAGAAAGTATTTTGAACTTCTGTAAAGGATTTTAATTGAAATAATATAAATTCTGAGGTACATAAATACACCTTGAAATACATTGCTAGTACTTCCATTAACTAGGTAAAAGAAATCTTTAAAAAAATTGTTTTTACACACGTGCACATCATATTATGTTGATAAATTTCCCACCAGTGAGCACCAGTTTCAATTAATAATTAGGGTACTTATCCATTTTTGTTTTATCATCCGCACTGTTACACTATTATATGTGAAGCTTAGTACATCGACAATAGCAGATAATGCTTACAAACATACAGATTAGTTGTGCCAGAGAAGAAGCAGTGTTGTAAAATCACTAATTACATGCATGAATAAAAAACATTTAAAACAAGAATGAAATAAAATTTCATTCTTCACCTTATAATACAAAAGTGTTCAAATTGTTAATGAACATGCAATGTTTTTCTAATGTTGAAAAAGCAATAATATATAGCTATATATATCAATTAAAAGAAAAATCGTTTGGATTTAATTTTTTTTTTATATATAGAAAATCCCCTATTAGGTAAATTCATCTCCAAGCATAAAGAAATTCTAGATACAGAACAGTCTCTAAAGTGCATTAGTTTTATTAGCATTTTTGTGCCAGTTTAAGTTCATTACTATCTTCAAAGATGACAATTCAACATACCACACAGGTAGAGGAGCAGGAAAAGAAGAAGAGGAAGTAAGACGAGAAGCAGGAGTTTCCTGTTGATTCTTGAGAACCTATTTAAAACAGATTGTATCATATTCATTCCTCATAACAGTTTGTCCTCATAAAAACCTTTGTTAAACTACCGCTAACACAAAACTACACTGAAAAAAAAAGTTAAAGCTTGAATCTCTTAATCTTCCAACAGCAATTTTTATAATATTGTGTACTAAAATCGCCCTTGTCTAATTTTGAAAAATTTCCTTTGGATGAGAAAAACAGTATTTCAGTGAAATGACCACAAGTAGCAGCAAAACACTTAAATGATACATATTACTAAACATTAAAGTCTTCACTACAATAGTGTATAAAAGCACCATAACCACAGACTAAAACCTGAGTTAACAAAACAAGAGAGCAAAGTTAATGGTAGGTAGATATACTTTCATTATAAAATCCACAGTACTGTTTATTTTTAACCTTCTGTATTATACAGCCAAATACTGGACTTAGATGATATACATTTAATCTAGTGAGCCAGTAACCAAGAAGTAAAAAGCTTTAAATTATTAGATCAACACATTTTACTGTTAAAAGAGTTAAAACTGCCTCTTCCTTTTTCAGACTTCAATGACCTTGAGTGATGTATGTTATTGAGAGATTCTTTCTTGGCTCTACAAACTACAATGAAATTTAGTTTCATAATTTCTCACCTGGAAAGAAACCATGTATCGAACAGAAGAACGTGAGAGACTAGCTTGTACAGATGTATCCATAAATAATGCCACAACCAACTAGCTTTCTCTGCTAACCACTCTAAAATGTAAAAATGACCATGTGTAATGATAAATTAATAAAACATTAAGGTTTTACTACCACTAGAAAACAAAGCAACAGTCAATTTTTCCCACAAATTGAATATTAACCTTATGTGCACATGTGGGGGTCAAACTGTGCATGGGTTACATTCAAATTTAATCAAATAACTTTATTATCAACACATGTCAATAAACTTGACATCAAAACTAGTTTATAAATCAAACTGAAATAAAAGTTTTAATTTCTTCATTTCAAAAAGAAATATTTAAATAAATTACCGATCTTCACTTCCCTGTATCATGTGACACGTTTTGGCTCCAAACGGCCCATTTTAGATTTTCTTTCTACAACTGTAAGTTTCCACAAATTAACCACATATGCTATAAATATTCCCTAACTAATATAAATTGATAGCTTCCGTCTTTACAGAGACATAAACAAATAAGTGATACCCATATGCCATACCACATATGCTATAAATATTCCCTAACTAATATAAATTGATAGCTTCCTTCTTTACAGAGACATAAACAAATAAGTGATACCCATATGCCATACCACATATGCTATAAATATTCCCTAACTAATATAAATTGATAGGTTCCGTCTTTACAGAGACATAAACAAATACGTGATACCCATATGCCATACCACATATGCTATAAATATTCCCTAACTAATATAAATTGATAGCTTCCGTCTTTACAGAGACATAAACAAATACGTGATACCCATATGCCATACCACATATGCTATAAATATTCCCTAACTAATATAAATTGATAGCTTCCGTCTTTACAGAGACATAAACAAACAAGTGATACCCATATGCCATACCACATTCTATCTTTCATAAAAATATCAATAATTTTCTCTGACATTTGCTACTGGATTACTTCTAATCAACAGATAAGATTCTACTTTATGATGATTCTAAGAGTCTATATTTGAAAACTTTGGCCTCAGTTAGTTTGCAATTGTGTAAGTTCAGCTTGACCAACTAACGATATTTAACCCACATATAGGTAAATTAGAAAACCAATTAAACTATAATAGTTTTAGAACATTTTTTTGTGTTAGATAATTTTTTTTATTGTAAACTGTATATCTGAATTAAAAAAAAAGCATTTGTAAGACAACGCCAGCATTACACTAAAAAAAATAACTGAACCTCAAAGACTTCATTGTTAAGAGTACAAAAACTTGAAAAAAGACAATATTTCAGACATAACTACTAGACTTATTGTTTTTTACAAATGTTTTTATTTATTGTTATGAAAGTAATTAAAATGTAAAAATTATAAACTTATCAGGTTAGATAAAAAACTAATGATAAAAAAATCTCTATAAGGAATGCAGGCGAGGTGCTTGTCTGTTATGTAGTTGTTAACTGTAACTTGTACTAAATTCTTGCTGGGTGATTCATTGCTTTGTTCTGCTAGTTTAGTAGTTAGACACAGTTCAAAGAACAATAAAACAATAAAATTAAAAGAAAGCAATTGTGAAAACATTAGAGGTGAAGCTGTTAAGAAAAATATAAGAACCTGTGCAAGTAGGGTTAGCATGGGTCCTTACAAGATTATCCTCAATAAGTAAATATGAATAAACCACATGGAAATTTTATGAAATGTGTTAAGAAAATAACAGACAATCTCTTAAGTTTAACTGTTTTTGATTGTAGGTATGTTTTAACTTTAATTCATTGACACACAAACTTTTATCTGCAAGTTTCTATGTGCTTTCAAAACTTTATCTTGGAGAGATACTTTGTGACTGTGTTCAGATTTTGGTTATACAAACTAAGGATACTTAAATGCCTGACATAAAAATATATATCATATGAGAAATTATCTCAACCAAACTTAAATCAACAGCAGGGTTAATATGATTATGTTGTGGTAGTCACAGTAACTGTTTGTGAAAAATGAAAAAAAAAAGTGATTTTTTTTTTAAATATCAAGTTCATAAATCAATAAAATCAACCTTGCCAATTGGTTACAACACACACACACATGTAAGAACATAATAAAACATTACTTTTATACAATAATAATATAATAAATTGTATATACAAGCCAACCTACTATATCTGAAAAAATCTATGTGTCAGTTCCATCTAACTGGAAACACAAATAAACTGAAACTTTCTTCATATTTTACCTTTTAGACATATATCATAATGAACTACAAGACATACCTATATTTTGATGGCTGTCTCACAACTATACTAGTCACATCGCGAGTGTAAGTGAGCCAATTTTGTATACATCACAAAAACATCAAATTGCATCATGCATTGAATACAATTTTTCCTGGGCTGACTGACTAAAACTGGACAAGGTACACTCAATTTTGTTTATTAACAAAGAGTTCAAGCTTTTATACAAATGCAAGACTGTATTTCAATGATTTGTTGAAATAAAATTTTTTGATTACTTACAAAGGAGTCGAGAATTACAAGTAGACTTTACTACTACTATATTTCATTAATTACAACACAGATCCATTATGCCATTATGACAAGTAGATGGTCTTAATTACTCAACAAGAACTGATGACCCAACATTGAACTCTGTTTACCAAATAACGTCAAGTCCAAAACAGTTTTATAATCTATACCAAATAATACATTATTATGAAAAAAAGGAGAAACATATATATGTGTACAACTGCAGGCATCATGAGCTCTACTATACTAAGTACAAGATAAACAGTCTTTACCTCTAAGTGTGTACCGAGATACAGGTTTCATACTGTTAGACATTCTTCCTTTGTGTTCGTGGCTTACATATACTTTAGAGTCCTGTTCTTCCCCTATACCTGCATGAAAAGATAGATATAGACTGGTTGCTCTATATACATTACAAACACTTTCTAGTAATGTGGTATTATCAACATATCAGTTTTCAATGAACAAACATAAGCTAAGGTGGAATCAAAGAACCTGAATAATATGGCCGTATTAACAACATATTAATTTTTAATGAACAAACATAAGCTGAGGTGGAATCAAAGAACCTGAATAATATGGCCGTATTAACACCATATCACTTTTCAATGAAAAAACATAAGATATGGTTGAATTAAAGAACCTGAATAATAAGGCTGTATTAACACCATATCAATTTTCAATGATCAAACATAAGCTGAGGTGGAATCAAAGAACCTGAATAATAAGGCTGTATTAACACCATATCACTTTTCAATGATAAAACATAAGATATGGTTGAATTAAAGAACCTGAATAACAAGATTGTATTAACAACATATCAGAGTTCCAAAATCAAATATATGCTATGGTGAGATAATGAGTTAAAGGCCCACCCCAAGCAGTAGGAATCAAGTAATGGAAACAAAGAACGAGTTACATTAGTACATCTCTAGGTTAGTTCACCTGAAGCTGTCTTGAAGAAATTCTAGAAACTACTATCATGTTAAACAGAATATTCCAGAAGTAAAAAGTAACAGCAAAGATTATATATGGATTGTTTTTCACCATTCTGAATAATGCTGAATATTCCAGTATGTTCTGGAATATTTCATAATAATACACTCGAACATTCTCGAATAACCTGGAACCTTCTAGAATAAACAGATACAGTGGAAGAGACAAGAAAAAATTTAAACTACCTTGAGCAACCCCTGTATGTTATTCAGTCTGGATAAAAGTTGGCATGAATTACTTATCTGTACATTGGAACAAAATGATGGGGTAAGAGTTATAAATCAAATATTCAAAAATAAGGATCACCCTAATGTAAATGGATGCAACTCGGCAGTTTCTTATCAATAACAAACACAAATCCACCCTTTCAGTTGTTGTTCGGTTTGTTTTTTTTAATTTTGCACAAAGCTACACAAGGGCTATCTGCACTAGCTGTCCCTAATTTAGCAGTGTAAGACTAGAGGGAAGGCAGCTAGTCATCATCACCCACTGCCAACTCTTTTACCAACGATTAGTAGAATTGACCATCACATTATAATACCCCCCATGGTTGAAAGAGCGAGCATGTTTGGTGTGATGGAGATTCGAACCTACGACCCACAGATTGCGAGTTGAGTGCCCTAACCACCTGGCCATGCTGGGTCTCTTTTAGTTGTTATAGCTACTCATCAATAGACAAGTTCTCAGTTAAACTTAATGGAGATTTAACTTTTTGTGAAAAGTAAAATTTTTTAAATAGCAACGAAGAAAATAGAGATCAAAACACCAGGGAATAGAAAAAACAACACCCAAAAAGCCTTGGCAGAATCTCAATTAAACCTGACACAAAAATGATAATGTATAATACAGTACTGCAGAATGTTAATAACAACACTGTAAAATGATGATTTAAGATTAAGTTAACGTTATCTTAAATTGAAAATGTATTTCCAATAATACTTACCTCTGCTGACACTTTAGCTATTCCTTGACATTGGCTTTGCCTATATTAGCATTGGTCTCGCATGCTCCAGTCTTTTATACCCCACTTAAATGCCCTTGGCAATATCTAACTTGCACTCTCTATCCTGACACTGTATATAAGCACCTCACTCAGAAAATGTAATCACTTCTTTGAGACTTACATCATCCCAGTCATAAAAAACCAGTTCTTAGTGGGGAGGAAGGGTGTCAGCGGAAGTAAGTATTATTGGAAATACATTTTAATTTTAGGAAAATGTTAACTTCCAAAACATACTTACCTCTTCAGCCGCTTATAGCCAGAATCCCACATTGAGAAAGTGTAGGGGCCGATAAGGGTACTGTCCATACAAAAAGCATCTGTATAGAATGGGTGTATTAAGATAATAGTGGTATCTAAGAGGGGAACTGCACAACATCCACAACAGGTACGCTCTTCATCCAGAACTTCACACTGGTATCAAGAGTGGAATAGTACATGAGTAATTATTATAGGACAGCCAGATAGCCATGGTTCCACAACTCATGGTTGGAATTACAGTGTCTTGGTCCCTATATCCCATGTTGGTGGCTAGGGCAATTGGACCACAATGTTATATATAGATATACTTTTGATTAGATCCCAACCTGTAGCCATAGCATGATGCATTCCAAACCACCAGAATTACAATGAGAAACGAAGCAACACTGAAATGGACAAACTTTCTCTTCCATCTGAAGAAGGTCTAAAAGGCATCACCTCAGGCTCGGAATGATGGGATCATGTATGCCGTACTCAACCAAAAGAACAGAACTCATCCAGTCTGGAATTATGAACATTCGTCCTCACTTTCCAACCGAGTGGACAAGAAGCATTCCATTTGCCCCTGGAATTATAGAGAGGTCATGGAACACTGTGTTCAACCAAGGACCTAGGATGGGACCACTTCATGGTCGGAATTATGAGTAGATAGTGGATCTTCATCCATGAACAATATACAACCTGACATTGTTCATAAGAAGAGCCAAGCACATCACAACCTGAGAGCGTAGGATCAAATTTGAACCGTCATTACTAGTAGGCTCCGCAGAGGCTGGTGCCACTCCTACTGACATCTGGGAAATACATCCAGGGACCAGAGTAGGAAGGCCCTCAGCTTTACCCTCTCCTCCAAGAGTCGAGGAACACACTCGAACACTCTGGAGGAAAAAGTTTCTGTCCACCACCCCAGCAACTGTAAATTGGGTGTGGTAAGGACTCCCTAGCTCCAATAGTAGAATCTGGGGAGTAGTTTACATTGGGTAGTCCAAGGAACAGTGCTCTGGAAACAGTACAATAGGTGAACCATGTTCCCTAAATTTTTAAAAGCAAACTGACCCCGATTTAATCAATCTGATGGTCAGCAAGGAAAAGCAGCATCCTGATAATATGGTAATACCATCTGGTAAGTGCCTAAATGGTCTTATGAAACACCTAATTTCTACATAGCTTGTTGCAACCAGAATGAATTATAAGCAAATGGGTTACTATTGCAGAATTGAATTGAAAAAAGCACACCTATCCGGGAAACACTCACCACAGAGTGGGATTCAGTGAAAGCAAGATGTAATGGACCCTGGGAAAGAAAGACAAGATTAATCCCTCCTCCTATGTATAATCTAGCATATGTTGTTAAAACAGCCATGAGGGGGGGGGGGTAGTGGAAAACCCTCAGAAGAACACTGCCAGATCATATAAAGAATGCGAGAGAAAAGCATTTGGAGAAGTCCACATACAGGCCCATAAAATGTCCCTCAGGGAATATTCTGTAAAATCCAGAATATGCAACATGGATATTTGCAAATCCACCTCAAAGGAAGTGGGAATAAATATCAAAAAACTGAAATATCCCAAAAAGTACGGAGGCAATACTATTACAAGGAAAGTAGTTAGAGTGAGCCACATAACACCTCCAGGCCTGACAGGACAAAAATTATCAGCGTATGATTCATTGCAGAGGTGAGAAATAGTTGGCAAAAGAATTGTGAAGAGGGATGTATCCCCTTCCCTGGTTGCCAGAAACTTAGAAAGAAAGAATCTATCAGGGTATAGAAGGACCTAATGGCAGAGATAAAGAGTCCTACAAACATGTCAACAACTCCAAACAATGACATCAGCATGTCAGCAGCAACAAATACCTATTAAGGGCAAGGTGATACAGGGTCTAAGAAGCTAAAGCAATGAATGATTGTAGAGAAAGGCATGTAGTACCACCTTAATATTTCAATTAAGTAATTGAAAAGGCCATTTGGGAAGAAGGCTGGATAGCACTTTGGAGTCTAAAACCATCAGATGTTTAAGATAACCAAAAGGAGATGAAAAAGTTGTCTGACCTAAATAACAGGAGACAAAGTTAAACACAAGTAAAAAACAGGCCAAAACAAGATATGGTGAACACATTTGATAAAGTGGGTACATGTTAAACCCCAATGAGCTGGGAAAAGTCTTGGTGTAGGTTGCCTCAATAAAGATAGCCAAAGAGAAAGATGCAGAGGTGGACTCACATGAAGAAACTGTAGAAGAGGAAATCATAGCTAGGCTGGCCAATCTATGCTAGTGACATCTCACATATAGAGGATCGAAATATAGCCAGAACTTTGAGTAACAGATAAAGTGAGGGAAAGTCAAAGATGTGCAATCCCATCCAGGCAAGACTGAATGCATCTACCACCCAAGCCTGAGGATGAGGTAATGGAGACTCCAAAGCTTGTAGTTGAATATCAATGTGTGTCAAAAGCCATTATTGGAAGCCCAAACTGAGAACAATTCTATTGGAAAACCTCATAACAGAGAATCCCTTTGTTCAGGAGAAAGTGAGGACTGAGACTGATAAACTGCTATGAAATACATCATCCCAGGAAAATGCAAGGTAGGAGGCTGATATGATTGGAATAGGCCCCATAGAGAAAGAACAAAATATAAGAGACCAACAGAATTGATGAAATGTCTCATGAGGATATTCCCCAGCAAGAGATCTAGACTTTGTACTATTGCCTGTTGGACAGCAAGAAGTTCAAAATTATTGATGCAAAATGAAGCTTTGTCCTCCCTTCATATAACCTGGAATTCCTGACCTTGAGGATGCACACCTTATCCCTGAAGTGAAATAGCTGTGAAGAGATAAACTATGAACAGAGAGACAGCGTACATTTATATCCCCCCCCCACACACACAAATTATATATATACACGCTAATGATATAGTTCATTCAAACCACCACCACACAAAAACTAAGATGTTGCTCCTGATGAAAGGGAATGGAAAATTCAGTGGATTGAAGTTCCAGATCCATTAGTTGCAATGGGACCACTGAAAAGATCTGAGGGAAGCCCACAACTCCAGAAATAGAACCATCCCTGTAAGTAACAGCCTGATTGCCCGTTCCATAGCCTGGAACTGGATGGGAGTTGGCTGAGCCGTACATAAAACATGGTGAAAACATGTACAACCCAGCAGAAGACATATGGCTAGAAACCTGAACTACAGAACCTGATCCCTGTATACAAAATGTAGCTAAAGAAAAGATGAATACACTATGAGAATGTGGAGAAATGCCTCAGCAACCTCAAACTTGGGCATTCACAGACCTGGTGTGGGGTGAGAAAGGACTCCATTGTGGACTGGGGAAGAACGAAGAATGAGTTTAGATGAGAAAGAACGATGATCATCTGTGAATCTCCCCTCGTCTCAAGCACAACAAATAAACATGAATAAAATCCCAGTAGAACAGAATCAACTGTCTCCACCACCCCCGTGATCAGATACTCTGATAGCCATGAAACGAAATCCACACCCCACTATTCAGATGGAGATGAAAATATCAGAGGAGAGAAGATAATGGAGTTGGAGAACTGAATGGAAAGACTAACCTTGATACCAGAACCTAAAGTACCCATGGATTTGCAGTGAAGAAATATCAGGTGTCCATCAATAGTTGTAACCTCACTCTAACTGACCCCCTCCCCCACCTAGGGTGATACCCAAATGGAATGGCTCTGAAACTAAGGTCTGAGTCTATTCAGCTGCTAGAGCAAAAAAGTCAAAAACATCAAAAATACAAACTGCTGATGGCAATTCGCAATACAAACTCCTCGCGAACATCCAGTGACAATAAAAAAGAAGGCACATGTAACCCCCAGAGACTACAGCAAGTAAACAAAGTCACTTCACCAAGGTATCTAAGGGACCCCAGTCGTCCACAATTTGATGTGGGGACCAATGATAGGCTGCCAACAATTTTCAGGGGAAGAAACATGACAGAGCAAGAGTGAGGAGCAAACAAATAAAAAAAATGTGATTGGATCATAGTGATCACATGAACCAACTTGGAACCCCACATATCCAAATTTAAATGAGTTTAGTCTGTGGAATTAAAAAAATACATCCCCCCCTCCCCTGAAGATGGAAAGCCAAAGCATACCAACAGACAAATGAGGGTACAAGGTATATCTATCCCATCATGTAAAAAAAAAGCAGTAAATCTCTCAGCATGAACCAGGAATATCAAGTGAAGAAGGGAAATTAAATAGTCCCCCCCAACCATTCCACCATCAAGGGAGGAGTAGACTCAAAGGTCACAGAGAAAAGCCCCCAAAATCTCAGAAACCCAAAGGACTAATTGAAGAAAAGTAGTAAGAGGTGGGTGATCCAAATTGGACTCGTGAGAAGCTGACTTAATAAAGAAATGCATCTGAAAAACCAAGTCCAAATTCTTCCCAGACGAACCATGATCAACAAAGAAGCAACTTCAGAAGCTCCAGGAGAAAACACCTCCAGGCCAAATGTATGTCACCATCTCCCAATGGATCCAAACACTGACAGCTGCAACTGAGAGTGACACCCCCCCCAACCCCGAACGTAGAGGGTCGCTAGATAATAAAGGAGGAATAGGGGAGGTCGGATTAGCCGCTGTGTTGACAACAGTAGGACAGGAGTTAATACCTCAAAACTTAACGTCAAAATTTTTTTTTGTGGTTATTAAAGGAAATTAAATTGATATGGAAATCCACAAGACAACACAAAAATTTCAATCCATAATGGAACAAACCACATTGTCGAGAAGATGTGATTCCATTAACTGGGTGGGGTACTTATACACAGTATCAAGATAGAGGGTGCATTGACACAGGTGGAGGGATTTGCAAGTTAGATATTGCCAAGGGCATTTAAGTGGGGTATAAAATACTGGAGCATGAGAGACCAGTACTTAGACAGGCAAAGCCAAAGTTGAGGAATATCTAAAGTGTCAGCAGATGGTAAGTATGATTTGGAATATATGCAATTATGCCAAGAAATTATACTTTAGAGATAAATCATTACCTACACAAACAGAAAAATCTCAAGTGTAAGTTTCATCAAAGCATACAATAAAAAAAGATACAAAAAAGTTAGAATTTTATTATATCTCTACTATTTTATATAAAATTATCTATATACAAAAAAAATATTTTTAAAAACTATTAGTACAGTTAATTAAAACTTTCTAGCATTGAATTATATAAAAATTTTACTAAATAATAAGTTTGAAAAACAATATTGTAGAAGAATTTTGAAAAAGACTGAAAGTTTATTCTGCATTTTCAGAAAGCTTTTCTCTTAGGTGCTAACTTTCTAATTTCCATCACTGAAATTCATTAATAGTACTTTAGAATGACCTGTCTTTGTATAATATAAGTCTTAAGATTGACCAAAATCAAGCTATGTTTACAGTCCTGCAAACTGCACTTATCCAAGCCTTGGACTCTGGACTCATTTCATTACTATCTTACACCTTGGTCACTGTTCAGTTCATAGTAGCTAAACAATGGTCTTTATTCAGTTCCTACTGTATAAATCTAGTCAATATTCATTTTTATACTCCAGGTTAAGTAGTTAGCTCACAGGATCACCTACAAAAGTTGTACTATTTTCAAACCAAGACCCAAAACTCAAGCACTTTCAATTAGTTGACTATCCTTCTAAGGGTATTTTTTACATCAACAGGCCCCCCCTCACGAGCTAGTGGGGGACATTTTTGTTGAAAGAACATAAATAAATAAAAACACTACCTAATCTGGTTTTTCTTAATTTGAACTATAATTTTTTGGATATTTTTATTGGCTAAAATGAAAGCATTTCCTGCATTATTTTATGATTAGGGCTGTGAAAAGTGATTTGAAGTGGTAAAGTAACTGAAATTAATGATCTCATCATGAGCTTAACGTCCAAGCACAAGAAAAATGCAAGTCTCCAAATGACACACAGAGGTATTCAAGAACCACCTTGGTAGATATTGTGCAGCAAGCCAAGTACAATATTATGCCTGTAGCTACTTTCAAAGTGTTCCAGTCTGTTCATCCTACTACTGACTATCGCGATGCTTTAACCTTCCCAGCCAAATTTCAGGTGAAATCGTTCATATTTAAATTGAAAACTAAACATAAAAAGGTGATAGCAGAAGCATAAAAGGTTGACAATTGCTTAATTAATGATGCTGTAAATGTGGCTTTATTGATATATACTGAATTTAATTCCAGCAGATAGATCTTAGTACTTGAGAGTGCTGTATTTCATTTAAAATTTATCAATTAACAAACAAAAACTTGTCTTGATATATATCCAAAACCACCCTCTTTGGGAGTTTGCGGATTGAACTTACTTTTAATATTTGAGTGTAAAGACATCCCTTGGTTCTAGAGGGACATGTTAAAAAGATTGTTCAGTCTTTAGTTTTTCAACATTTAAACTTTGATTCCCCAGTTATCACTACATAAAATATCATCATCTTCTTTCCAGTTAGAATCAGCATTTGGTTTAACAACACTCTATAGAACTTTGATCTGGGTGGGGAAAAAGAAAGAAATCTAGCCAAAAAGTCTGATAGCCTCATACACTTGTTTGCTATTAAAAGAGTACAATAGTTACATACAAACAAAATTTTCTCCAGCCATTTCCCAAGCATTAAGATATATATAAAGCTCCCATGAACAACATTCTCTATCATCAACTTAGCTAGGCTGATGAGAGTTGACACAAATTAAAACTGCAGATCACTATCTGAGAGTTGTTGACCAATATGAATGCATGCAGTTAATTTTAGAATCTAACTGAATACCAACAGATTAAACTTACCATATATATATTCTAGTTTTTTAAAGATTTTAGTGTTCTCCTTGTTTCTGTGACGATGGGAAGGGTTGTATTTCTGTTTTCTATTATCAGAGTCATAAGTTGAAAATGTTCCTAACTTATTAGAGTTGTGAATTTCATTTGTATTTTGAAAACTTTCAATTTTACTCCTTACACCTGGAAAACAAAATGGAGAATGTAAACTTCACCTGGAAAACAAAATGGAGAACATAAAGTTTACATAGAAACACAAGAATATCGTTTTAGGAAAGATGAAAATTTTGACCCGACAACTACTTTTTGAAATAAAAACTATTTCCAGTTATTCAAAACATATTCAGATTTCAAACTAAGAAACAAAGTTACTCTTAATTTTGCACACACTATTACTAAAACAAATCACTAATGTTAAAGATGATTCTTATTTAAAACCAATTTTACATTTCAAACTTTAACCAAAGAAAATATAATACTTGTTATAAATTTCTTAATACAAATAAAGTAAAAGAGCAATTCTTGTTCATGAAAATATTTCATCCATCATCATCCCAAAGCAAGAAATAAGAGAATGTACTGAATTCTTGATCACCTGGAAACATTTTAAATTGCCCTACCTCTTACTGCTCGATTGTGTCCACTCTCATCAAGTTCCGTAGGAGACAGTGATGATGAACTACGGGTGAAGTGAAGACGACAACGTGACATGTTAGGATTTTCGTAATTCTCTGCTGTGACACTAGTACAATAGCTTGCACTATAAAAAAAACAAACCATCATAAGAGAGAATCTTAATAAAAGTGTGTTGCTATTTTTTCTTTGTAGTTTAAAAACCAATGACATACTTAAGTAATATCAATAACCTTAAAGGATATATTTTTCCTAATGAGTGTTTTCTGTCATATATTTACTATTAAACCACATGCAATCCTCAACTTATGTATCTTGTAGTTGACTAAAAGAAAGTTAACATTAAAATAATAATTTAACCAATGTACAATACATTTTTTGTATCTATATATAGATCACATATTTTTGCCACTATGCTAACCAAATGTTTTACATATTTAACCAGTTTATCACTTTAGTTCTTGCCAGTAGTCAGAAAACCAGATGTCAAATATCCAGTTTCAGAGCTCTGTCTTTAATAGTCATATAGAATACAAAGAAATGACTTGCACTTTTAAAGATCTAAATTAAACTCTCTGTCAGTACATTTAAATGTTTATTAATAAACATACAAGTTATTATTTACACCTGATGGAACTCCTTAGTAAAAGGGCATTTTCTAAATAAGGATTTTATAATTCTTTTGCAACAGTAAATGACTGAAATTATTAGTTTTTATAACTTCATGAAAAATGACATGTTTGAGATTTACTTTGAGTCTACAAATTTAAAAAGTGAAATCCTTTTAAAGAATGCTTAAATAAATCATCCAGATGTTATTATTTTTTATAATTTTGTGAAATGACATTTGAAGAGTATTTCAAATCTACAAACCTAACAATGAAATCTATTTTCAATCTTTACTTTGAAAGAATATTTACATACTTCTCAATATCATTAAAACTGTTCTAATTATAAATAAAAGATCACAAAAAGTAGAAAATGTTTTGTCAAAATCTCTAGTAATGTCAGATCTTACCTTGTGGCATAAGTGTAGTCAGTTTTTATGTCGTCTCTGAAATAATGAAATTAATATATTTTTAAAATATTATAATTTACTTCTTGCTTTATTTTTTTTATTAGCACAGGAATGTGCTGTTAAAATATCAGGCACTCTTGTTGTCAACTTACACAAAATTTAGCATAATATACATTAAATTGAAGATATAAAAAAACAACAACAATATGAACAACATTTAAATAATAACTGTCAATTATGGATGAATTATCCAGGACCTATTCACAAATCTTAGTAATATTAGAATTCATAAACAGATCCAGTAATATGTTCATTACACATTGTTATCATGTTAACAACAAGTGATGAAGTTATTCTAACTAAACATCTGTTATGTAATGGGTTTTATAGTTATTGCAGTTATAAAAAGTAGCTAATCCACAAGGGACAAGTTCTCCAGTCCCTAAACATGTGTGTGTAAGTTGATTCTACATAAAACAATCCCAAATGGTGCTAAAATAGAGATAAATACATTGGACATGACAGGTGTAATAAAACAATCTAGTTTAAACATACATTTTTCCCATAACACCTAAAACATTCAGTCATGTAAGTGTTGCTTTCTTCAGCTGAAAATTATTGGTGTAGTTCTTATTTGAAGTTTAATGCTTTTACTCTTATTAAAGAAGTTTCTTGTTGATATTTTATCAAGTTTCTTATCACATTTAATTGAATAATATTTATACAAACTCGGTACATGAAATAATCATTTCAAACTTGAGGCTAACAACAGACAGACATGTCAAATTGTATAACTTGGTAACAAATAATCTTAGATACTTTTAGAACTGGAAAGTTTAGGTTCAGATGTAAACATGGAAAATTAAAAGTAATTTGTTTAGGCCTTTTTATAAGCTTTTTTTTTTGTACAAAAATCACATTTAAACTTTACAGTTTTTTTAAAATAACTGCACCAAACAGAGAGGTCTGCACAAGTAATTTAAAAATACTAATAGTTTCTTACCAAAAATCATGGATGTTAATTTACTTGACTTAGAAAAGATCATCCCAAAAATACTTACTCTACATCACCATCGCTGAAACCACTTGAATAGTCACTGTACGAATGATGTCCAAAACCTGAAGTCTTCAATTTGGAGCCGGAGGTTTGGATACTTTTGTTGTTAACAGCTGAGGAAGAGGTGCTTTTACTTATCAATACTTGATCCTCTGACTTAGTTGTCTTTTCTTCAACTACTTTTTGCACCTAAAGAGAGCAGGATAAAACTGCACTAGATATATAAACAAATACCAGTTTACTAGCACTACCTGTCCACTGCCTATATGTGAAGATGAAGCTTTATTATTCCTTGGTTGACAAGATTCCTCTAGCAAGAGATAATTTCCTGTTTATTTTTTGTCAAAATCAGTTTAGTCACTTGAGAGATTTCAACAAGTAACATGCAACTTCTTTTACACAGAATAAGTAATCAGTGAATCAGTTAAAAATCTTTACTTACCACAGGATATTTGGGTACAAAAACAATTACTGCAAACTTATGTTTAACAAATAGACATCTGGTTGTCTGTGTATATGCAACATGCTAATATAAATGACGTGCATGTTCGTGATACATTTCACTGTAACACAGATAGATGCATAAAATACTACTTCAAAGATTTTTAATTTTAGGCCGTCTAATACACAAAATAAATTCCAAATCAAATGACTAACATACTACACAATATCTATCCCTATTCATCTTTTTTGAGTGAAGTTGTTGATGAGCTAGATGTTAGTGTGTAAAACTAGCTTCCATCTAACAATGACATATTAAAGAACAGTCACACGTATACCTAGGACGTCTAAATTTAAATCACCGATACATTTGTTTTATTCTAGATGTTTCAATATATGCATATTCGTTCAATTTTTTTAATTGTCCTAATGTACAAGTTTAAAATAATAAATTCAATGTCTCTTAATATGAAGTTTATACACACACTTGAAAGTAATATAACAAAAAAGGACAATAACAAACTCTGGACAATGAGAACTCATAAGCAATCTACATGTACAGGCACATATACTTTTTTCTTTTTTTTATAAATTTCACAATGTTTTATTAAATAAATTAAAGTTTCAAAGTTGCCAATCACAGATACTGTATCTCCTAGTAAAAAGGGGGAAAAAATAAAAAAATCAGCTATGAAAGTGACCATTTTATTAAAATTAAAAGTTATTTCTCATGTAACGTAAAGACAACTTTAAGATGAATTTACAGATGTGTGCAAGGGCATTCCCAGTGAGGGCTTGCACAAACCTTTCCATAAACCATGCCTTCCTAGTTGCCCAAATGGGTGCTTAAGTCAATGAATCTTTCTTGAATAAACAGTGATACCTGGTGAGCAGATGCATGATAATCAATGGAGTTAAGGGGTCATCCATTGAATACTTATAAGCTGTAGACACACAGAAAAGTAGAGTGCATTATTGTGGGAAACATATGACATTTATCAAACTGCAACTGTTGAAAGTAGATAATGAGTGATCTCTTGCCTTGTGTAACTACTGTCACAAAACAAGTTATGATATAATTCTTAACTAGATGCCTTACAACACATGTAACATCCAATTGGTTATGTAACAGTGGTTACACAAGGCAAGATATATTGGGTCTCTGTTCCTCCCATAAAATGCTGAAGGGTGTACAGTGGGGTAAGATTTTCAATTTTTTTAAACAAATAGGGTATAGTTGTCACCCAAGGAAAAAAATACAATCTAAGAAGCTAATATAACTTGGATTACTCAATATATGTCAGCTTTGCCAATCAATATGACATATAATTCAGTGAGGTTTAGAAATAAATGTGGTTAAGTAAGCCAGCTGGTAAAAGTAGAAAGTTTCGAAGTTATATCTCAAGCCTTGTCTTTATGAATAAAGATTGTTTAGATTTTCCTTCCTAAAAATAAAATACAGAGTTCAAGAAAGTATATTTCAAGTGCTTGAATTTCCATATTTTCATTGTTCAACAATCTTAAAATTCTTTAGTTTCAGGAGGTTTCATTTCCTGGATCTTCCACTAGAGGCACTGTCTCTGAACTCTCCCTGCAAAAAGGGCTGGGAATGCCCCTGATATGAATTACAAGTCAAAAGATATACATTTATACATGTCATTAGTTAGGTTCCGGGAACACTGTATACAGTATTTTAGCTCCTCATCTAAGAAAGAATATTGACTTATTGGAAAGAGTTCAGAAAATGGAATGAATTCAGCCATAGAAAGGCAAAAGTTTACAATCTCTTATTTTCTCTCCAGAAAAGAAGGGTAAGAGAAGGATGAATAAGATGAAGACATTTTATTTCTTTCTGCTGAATTCTGAAGAAAATAGGATGGAAAGCATTCTTAAGAATTGAAGCTCCAAGTAAACTAATTTTATATTTTCTGATAGGTGATTAGTTTGTGGAACAGCTGCCACTATCAGTTGTGGAAGCAAGCACCTCTGAAGAGCTGAATAGAAGAACTGATGATTTCCTAAACAATAAATGGTGGGTTCAATTTTTACTTTTCTTTTTCTTTAAAGTAGGTGTGCAGGAACAGTGTGTTAGAAATAAATTATCCCTTGTTGTCTTTATATTACATGTTATGTTTAATAAGGCGCATCTTTTTCCTCTATTTTGTAGATGTAATCATTGAATTTAACCCTGAAAATATAAAACGTATACTAAATACATTTAAAGTGTTCTTAAAAGTCAGCTGTTCACTAAATTTTCAATATATAGTACATCATCCAAACTAAAATTTATTATGCACTACTAGTGTTGTAGATATAATTTGTAATTTACCTACTTTGCCCACTATGAAAACAATTCTCATATCAAACAAAAATTCTCAAGTATTTGTTAATTATAACATGTGATCAAAAGAACTCAAATACAATTAAAACATTACTTTTCATATTGAAATCTGGAAAACTTTTTATGCCAAGATTTACTTATTTCGTAGACAGGTTCATTCTTTGACCACAACTGTCTGTTAAAATAATTTCTAGACTATATTGGTTCATTCTTTGACCATAACTGTTTGATAAAATAATTTCTAGACTATATACTGGTTCATTCTTTGACCATAACTGTCTGATAAAATAATTTCTAGACTATATTGGTTTATTCCTTGATCACACATGGCTGATAAAATAATTTACGACTATATTGGTTCATTCTTTGATCATAACTGGCTGATTAAATAATTTATGACTATATTGGTTCATTCTTTGATCATACCTGGCTGATAAAATAATTTATGACTATATTGGTTCACTCTTTGATCATACCTGGCTGATTAAATAAATTATGACTATATTGGTTCATTCTTTGACCACAACTGTCTGATAAAATAATTTATGACTATATTGGTTCATTCTTTGACCACAACTGTCTGATAAAATAATTTATGACTATATTGGTTCATTCTTTGATCATAACTGGCTGATTAAATAATTTATAGACTATATTACCTGCTCTGCTACTTCTTTTTGTGTTCTTAATTCTCTTATGCTATGGGAATGTGTTTGACTTGCATCTGCACCACGAGCACCAACAATTGTTGGAGCTGCCTGATGATGAGTGTGGTGCTGACGATGTCGCCGGGAGATGCTTGGTGACCGACTACTACTGTGTCGATGAACTAGTCTTCTGTTCAAACATCAGAAAGTAATTAAAATTTTAGTTTGCTATTGAAGTAGAGGTAACAAAAGTTCAAAATTTAACTATTATATTATTGATGTACATCAATAAACTTGGCATCAAAACATAGTTAATAAATTTTAACACAAGAGTTAATTTCTTAATTCAGAAGGAAATATTTGAAACAAATTGCTCAATACACACTCTTGTACATAACATAACACATCCACATTACACGTTGTTCAATTTATAGTTTATTACTTTTACCATTCAATGTAAACAATGCTTAATCAATTAAAAACTCAAACATCACTTACTGACAAGCTACAATAAAAGATAACCTTTCACCTTCTTGATTTACTGGGATATCAATATATTTAGTAAATTTACCAGAAATGCCTCTCCAATTTCTTCATTCTTTTGAAATCACTTGTTTACTCATACCTACCTATCTAACGTTTATAACAAATAGTAAAAGACGATTCTGAACCACATAAATCGGATGGTTGTTTATCAATTTTATGGCAAGGAAAGCCAAACTTTGCTATGAAATACTGAAGTGTGTTTACTAAAATTGATGCTCCAAACAGGAATTAAGTTTTATAGCCTATTTACACATTTTTACAGTATTTTTATTCCTATCATGAAATTCACCTTTCATGCTTATGGACTCTGTAAATTCTCAGATGAATCTTTAGGATATATAATTTATTTAAAAAATCTAATTTTTGTGTGTATAACATACTTGTAATGTTTACTAAAAGTGTGCCAAGTTTTATGAAGATACATGAAGTAAATTTAGAATTATATTGTAATTGTTGCATCTTTGTTTTATCCATAACAGAGATTTAGTTTAGAGAAATGGATCACAAAGATCCAGAGTATCTGCAAGCCCTTCCCAACTGGGGTGTTCAGAAATGTTTGTGTTCCTCTTCACCCTACAAGTGGTTGATTTAAGATGTTTAAAATAAGTTAGTCACTGGGCTAGCTTAAAAGTATCTTAAAGTTGATACAAAGAAATTGAAGCAAAGTATATGCAGCATTAAGAGGGAGGCTTGATAGATTGAACATCAAGGCTTAACCATACTGCCCTAGTTAGATGGCACCTTTTCAGGATGGCAGAAAATTATAACTCCTATGCCCAAAATTTGCCGAGGGGAGGAAATATAGGAGAACCTCAAGAAAACCAACATTACAGTACATGTGTTGATTGAATGATCTACTTTTCCCGTATTGTTGCATCTGGAATTCAGTTGTCATTTTCCTTACTGATCTGGTAAAAAAAATAACTTGAATGGATCCAATTGGTTCAACAGAGAAGTCTACCTAATTTTCTACAAGTAAAAAAATCTAAATACATAAACTGTGTTGTGATAAATGTCATAATAGCTCTCTCTTAGGCATGATCAACATAACTAACCAACAGACAAATGTCATTTGACACTGTAAAAATCAAGTGTCTTAATATTCTTACAATCCCTCAAAAAAAAAAAGAAAGAAAGAAAGAAAGAAAAATAAAGCAACTTGGCATTACTAACATTGCATCATTACTACAGGTAAAGAACGTTATGTTTTCACCCCCTGTGTTTGTGTGTGTTTATCAGCAGGATTTCTCAAAAATGGCTGAATTGAATTGGACAAAAATTGGTATACAACTTAGAAGTGATTAGCTTTTGGAGGGTTAAACTCAAAGGTCAAGGTCACAGCAAGTTTGCAAAAATAGAAAAAATCCCTATCCATTAACATGGGAACTGATTTTTTACACTATTTTTGCTCTATAACTTAGTCAAAAATGATCAGATTTTGATGAAACTTGGTGGACACATGTAGGATAGTATTCCTCACCGTCCTCCCAAAAATGGTCCGTAACTGTTGAAAACAATGGACACGTTCACTCTTAGTAAAAGTAAATATTTAAGCACACCCTTTATTTTTCAAGAAATCATCAATTCTTAAACTCCTGTAAAGTGCTGACCACCACTACTGCTAATGCCAATTCACTCCATCAGTCAACTACCCTATTAAGAAAATGATATTGTCTTAATCTTGAATCCTTCTGTTCCAATAGATTCAGAACATAGCACAGAGCTTGAAATTAATGCTAACAAAGTAGCAAATTGCTGGTTAGTGCTGTAGTTTTAGTGTTTAGTAAAACATAAAAGGTACTAAAAAATAAATTGATAGTACACAGTTAAGAAGGGACCTTTGCAGATTCTTACTGGTGAGTATCAATACGCCTAAGATGTGTACATTTCAGTCATTTATATTACAAGATTCTGAGTACAGAAACAAGGTTTCGATAGGGACCTTTGCAGATTCTTACTGGTGAGTATCAATACGCCTAAGATGTGTACATTTCAGTCATTTATATTACAAGATTCTGAGTACAGAAACAAGGTTTCGATATGATTTCAGAACTCTTGACGAAATTCTCTAGCGTGTCAAATTCTGAGGCTGAAGCTTATAAAATGTTGAAACAACTGTGTGACCATTAATAATCCAAGTTGGCATCTTTTAGTCTAACATTCAGGCTGATTGTGAATCACCATTTGTCTTCAAAGGTCAAAATTATTACACACAAGATGCTTGATGATCTGATTAAAGTAGTGGTTTCAAAGATTTCAAACTGTGTATATATAAAGGGTAGATCAATCAGATCTGACAAAGAAACAAATCACCTGCTCCACAGCTCACCCATGAATATGTAAGTCAACCTTATTGCATACTCTTATTTCAATGATAGTTGCACGACTGAGGTATCCGCACATACAAGATACATGAACTCGCCTGTTGTTTACATGGGTCAAACCAATTTATACAGTATGCTACATACATAACATCCCTCCTCAAAATATAAATGTATTTGATATTGTTGATTACTCTATAATCAGTAATGGCATTTTAAACATTAAAATTAAGTCATTTTTTTACTTTTTTCCCATGCTTTTGAGCCAAAATTTCCATATATAAGTGTGACAAACTTTTTGTGCATTAGCTCAGAAATCTGTGTGTGAAATACTCTACGCAATGACAAAGTTTCATCATCATTGGGCACTTTGTTTCATTTGCTAGTGTCACGTTAATTTTGTGCTACTCATTTAAGATGCGTGGCATGGCCGAGCTAGGTATCGGGAAATGTAGATAGTGAGACTGAGAGGATGGCTTCAATTCATTTGTTTGGTTGTCAAGGCAATTAGCACATAGTACAGACAGCTACATTCCTACCATCTGGCTTATGCAGTACAGTCTTTCCAGCAACATAGTTAAAAGTACTATGCCCAAGTGGTTGTTCATCGGAGATAATAATGAAGTATGGATCACATAAACTGCAGATGTTTCATCTTTTTGTTTTCAGATTCTTCTTAACAATTCACAACTAAAACAAATTTTAAACTTAATGGCTTCTAATTCTTCACCAGCTTTTGGCACTTAAATAGTAACTTCAAATAATAAAATACATTTTTGTAACAACAGTTGAATACTGTAGAGAGTGGTGACCAAGGAGCTCATGCCTAGATACAAAATATGTTAAAATAAGAACATTGTTACATGTCATTAAAATGTTTTAACATCAAAAATATTTGAAAATAACATATGACACAGATGTGTAAATATAAATAGGATATATACATACTTGTTCCCATTTAATACATGAAATAATTAATCATGATCCAGTTAAAGTTAATTCTTGAGAAGAATGACTTTTTGCTAATAGGAATCCTAATGTTGCTAACGGGGGAAGGAAGAACCAGCAGCCATTTACTCGTGTCTTCAAATGTTAATGTCAAGGCCTGTAGCACAATGAAATCAGAGACCATAATCTTATAGATCCCCTGGATAACTTTGTAAACTTTACTAAGATTACTTCTCACTCTTCTTTTCTGAGCAAAAGATAAGCTAAGAGATCTTAACTTATCCTTGTAAGATAACCTTTCCATCCCTGGAATTATCCTAATAGTCCTATGTGTGAAATTTCAGTAAATCAGTATCCTTTCTTAGATAAGGAATACAAAACTATTCACAGTAATGTAAACTAAGATATCAAGCAAATGTATATGGACAACATTATGTACTCATGCCTCTTGTTACCTTTAATTTGTGTATCTGTGACATATGAAAAAAAAATGCCTAATGGTTATTTTGTTAGAATAAAATGAGCACTTGCTTATAAAAACCATAATTTAGTGAAAAACTCCAAGGGTTAACATATTAAAGCTACATGCCAATATTATTCAATTCAAATAATTGAACACTTAATAGATATCAACTGCATAATAAAACATGTTTGATTCTTGTCATACATCCTGGGCTATAAAGAAAATAATTCAAAATAATCATTAGATCAAAGCCAATACAATTTGTATTATTTTGATTCCTACCATTAATATAAATCAACACATTATGAGATGAAACATAATGCTTAAATCACAAGGTCTAAAACAACTGTTTTTAAGTAGGTCCCGAGTATTTATAGTACGTTAAAATTTGTTACTGATATTCCTAATTAACTTCCAATCAGATCGAGTTGTCTACTTATGACAAAAATAAAAATATATCTAGTAACATTACAATAATACTGAAACTGAGCTTTAAATCTCAAAGATTTATCTTTAAAACTATTTAAATTGTGCGAAAAATCCATTTCCAACCTCCTCACTACCCTAGATACCTTAATTTGTTTTTCAAAATTTTCCAAGATATTTTACCATTATGCAATTTTAATTTATATTATATTTGATGAATTCCTAAATCTTTTCCAACACTTTGTTACTTAGTTTACTTAAGTAGACTACCCTAACTATTGCTCTAAACATATCCTTGAAAGTTTAAATTTTAAGTCTTGTACTGTTGTAGTTGTATCCTGCTAAATAGTTCATTCCCACAGCCTGATAGTGATACTAATAGTAATAGAGCACTCCTAGACCTAGGGCCTCACCTCTATTTCTAGCTCTAAACATCTGATTGTTTTTTATAAAAACTTATGCTTTTTAACTGAAATACTTTGAATA